AAGCAAATAAACCCAAGTGACTCTAGTGTAATCATCCATAATGCTTAAGAAATAATGGGCACCAGACAAAGAAGCAGTATGATATGGACCCCAAACATCACAATGGATTAATTCAAAAGATTCATGAGTTTTAATTGAACTAAATGGAAAAGGGGTTCGAGACTGTTTTGCTAGATGACAAGAGTCAAAACACTTATTAAAAGACTTAACAGAAAACTGACCTAAATCTGTAATAAGAGATAATCTATCAAAGGGTAAATGCCCAAGACGTTGGTGCCACAAATTTAGCTTAGAATCATGAGTGATGCTGGTTGCTGCAATAGGAATTTTGATTGCCTAAAAATAATAGAGTCCATCTCGCAATTCACCCATTCCAATCAGCTTCCTCGTGGCTAAGTCCTGTAAAGCACAGAAGGAAGGGAAAAAATGAGCAGCGCAATGTAAGGCTTTGGTTAATTTGTTGATAGATATAAGATTACATGTAAATGAAGGTATATAAAGAACATTATTCAAGATAACAGATGGACTAAGAAAAACATTTCCATAAGATTTTGCTGGAATGAGTGACCCATCTGGAATGGTAATTGGTGAAAAATTGGGTACAGCTTTGGGAGAAGCAATGACACTCGCATGACATGTCATATGATCAGAAGCACCTGAATCCAAAATCCATTCAATTGTACAGTTGGATAGAGGAGTAGCCTTACCCGCAAAATTGGCCGTAGAATTGTGAGTCTTTTCAAGATTAAGCATAGAGATGAGTTGAGCATATTGTTCTGCAGTCAGCCCATTAATTTGTACAGTGTTACCTTCAACAGGTTCCATACGCTGTGAGCTATTTGCTGTTTTGGGCTTGGATGATTTCTTTCCTTTGTCCCACCATTCAGGATATCCGTTCAGCTCAAAACAAGTCTCTTTGGTGTGTCTTGTCTTTTTGCAATGTTCACAAAATAATTTGGATAAGTCACGATTGTTTACAGACCTGTGGTTGTTGTAGATTTTGTTCCTGTTGCTAGAAAAAAATGATGCTGCCTCAACAGAAGGTAATCGTGATGCTGTCACCAACTGTTGTCGCTTCTCTTGTGCTACAAGTCCATAAACACGAGACAAAGAGGGTAGTGGTTCAGTGTTCAAAATTTGAAAACGTACCGTATTGTATTTTTCATTCAGGCCCATTAGAAACTGATGCACTTTTTCTTTCTCCCTTTCTGCAGCAAAAGCCTGTGCAGATCCACAAGTACACGTTGGAATTTGAGAGTATGTGTTCAACTCATCCCATATTCCCTTTAATTTTGTGTAATATGCTGAAACAGACATGCCTTGTTGCAAGGTATTCACCATTTCAGTCTTCAACTGATAAATGCGAGGAGCGTTGCCTTGAGAGAATCTTTCTTCAAGGTCCTTCTACATCTCTTGTGCAGTAATAAAGTATGCGACACTATTATGTAGGGTAGGATGAAGAGAATTAAAAATCCAAGAAATTACCATCGAATTGCATTTAATCCATGCAGGTTCTTCTGTGGAACCAGGTGATGGGCGTTTGACAATCCATTTACAAAGCCAAATTTATTTTTGGCCTGGAGTGCATTTGTCATGGCATGATGCCATGTAGGGTAATTGTCTTCTTTGAGGAGGCATGTTACTAAAGTTGTGCCTGGATTGTCAGAGGCATGAAGAGCATAGGGTGATGAGACATCTAAATTGGTTTGAGTCATGTTTGATTGGCTAGTTTTTGGTGTACTAGAATTCAAAGGGCTTTCTTCAGTCATGATGAGAAGGTGAAGAAATATTCTAGGATTTCAACCGCTCTGATACCATGACAAAAGTAGGAGAGGTCTGCTGCAATTTTCTCTCTTGCAATTATCATTAATACAGAATGCGTTTATATACAAAAGAGGTCCTTAAATCAAGGATACTAAAGAGGAATATAAATATTTGACAGAGTAAATTAAGGCTAGGATAAAGATACAAATATTTGACCAGCTAAAATAGGAAGACAAATATACAGCTGGAGATCTTCATCCAATAGAGACCACATGTGCCATTGTAATCAATTATGCGATATAAATATATAAGATATAAGAACATTTGAATTACCAAAATTGAGAAAAAAAAAAAAAAAAAAAAAAAAGTTGGCATGATTTTTCATGTTATTAGCGTGAAATCTCTAAGTTGGTGTATAATATCACACTAGGGAATATATGTAAACAAGTCCTTAGTTGGCGTGAAGTATCATGCCAACTAGAAAATTTCGTGTCAACTGTCGAGTTTTTCTCTATATGCTAGTTTCCAGAATAATGCAATCCTAAATCTACTTTATTACCATAACATAACAAACATTACATCATCTATTCACTCATAAGTCTTAAACAATATTTGCAATAACAAAAAATCAACACAATAACAAGACACAATCATTCTAAGTTAAAATTATGAAAAAGCGTACATCTAAGAATTAAAAGTTAAGATTGATCTTAATACTTGGATATACCTGTTTTTGTTTACTTGATATTTTGTTTTGGGTGCCAGATTTTGCAAATGAGACTTAGATAGAATTTGAGGTAGGCCTGACTTCTCATCCAATGAGGTCTTGTTGAATGGGAGGATTACCTCCTCTTATAACCCAATAGGCTTGAGCGTGCCTAGTCAATGTAGGACTCCAACACTCCCCCTCACGGTCAAGCCCATATGTTGGGTCATGCCTGTTGATGGAGGTAGTTGTTAGCTCTAACTCCTCACCCACTGGTCAAGCGCTCAGCTCAACTAAACTTGGGCTCTGATACCATGATAGAATTTGAGGTGGGCCTGACTCCTCATCCAATAAGGCCTTATTGAATAGGAGGATTACCCCCTCTTATAACCCAATAGACTTGAGTGTGCCTAGTAAATGTGGGACTCCAACAGAAATTAATCAGATTTATGGATTAAGTGTTGGGAGGTTAGGGATGAGGGATAAGATTGGATTTAACTAAGTTGGTTACATTGGCACTGAGTCTTGATTTTTGGTCAATTACTGAATGTCCCCCCAAATATGGTTATTTATTAAAAACCCTAAAAACTATATAATACCCTTTTGTATAATTATATACTCTTCTCAGTTTTTATTTCTTAATTCTTGAGGAATAAAAACTAAAAAGAATTTGAAACTTTGTTTCATAAATTTTAGTACTCTTTATTTTATTATACTTCTCTCTCTCTCTCTCTCTCTCTCTCTCTCTCTCTCTCTCTTTTAATTTATTTTTTAAATATATAAGTTAATTAAATTTTGGCTTTATTTTTTTAGATTATTCTATAANATAATTATGAATATATATATTCAGATTGACTATTGATCTGAATTGTAAAATATTATTTTAGTTTAATATAATTAATCTAAGAATGAATATATACTTTTGAAATGTTTTTGTAATTCTTGTGGGTTAAAATTTATTAAGAATCTTATTTATTGTATTACATTTCTAGAAAATTTTGTATAAATGGATTTTTAAAAGTTTAGGGAAAACTTTTTGGAATCCATAAGCTAGTTTATTTTTGTAAGAAGTGATGACAAAAACACATAATTTTTTCTTAAAATTAATAATGAAAATATGTTTAGAAAAGTAAATGACTACAATGTAAAAATCTAGTTAATAAAACATTACACTTGTAATATTAAACATCAAATTTGAAATAAAATTATTTTGAATATTGTAAAATGTTTAATGCAATGTAATTCATGAATAGTTATAAATTATATGGTTAAAGGGTAAAATACTTTCACCCCTCCAATTTTCAAAAAAGTTTTTCCAAAACTATCACTTATCTCTACACTTGGCTTTTGGGTTAAAACTAATAGTTGACCTATTTTGACTTATAAATTATACAATTATCCTTGTAAATAAATTTCAAGAAAATTATGGAAAAAATTCTAAAATTAATTATTACTATTATTTTGAATTTCAAGTTGTAAGATGATTTTATTGAATTCTCAACAAATAAAATTTCAAATTGTTTGTAATATTTTCCAAACATGGGACTTTGCCGGACTAAATGTGTTCCTTTCCACCTAAGCCTAGGTTTTTTTTTTTTTTTTGGTAACCAGGATGTGCGATGCACATACTTCAATTAATCCTCAAAGTCTATTGAACACCCTACAAGCTTAAAGGACTAAATAAATTACAATGTTATTGTGATAAGTAACCTCAATGTTTGAACCCAAGAACTCAAAGAAGAGAGCAAATTAAGGGGGTGTTTGTCTGAGCTTATGAAAATTAGCTTATAAGCAACAAGTGCTTATAAGCTAATTTTAACTTATAAGCATTTGAAATTTTAAGCAATTATATGTTTGATTAAAATATTTATAAGTGATTGATAAGCAGTTGATGTGTTTAGTAAAATGTGGCTTATAAGCACATTTTATTATAAAATGACTAAAAAGGGTACTACATTAAACAAGAGTATACTATGGAATTTTAAAATTAAATTATGATAATGTGGTACTATATTTGGTCAAACTAGCTTATAAGCAAACAAAAAAAAAAAAAAGGTTTTTTTTTTTTTTTAGCTTATAAGCTCAACTTATAAGTTTAAAAAAGTTATAAACAAACAGGTCAACTTAATTTTAGAGCTTATAAACTAGTTTAATCAGCTTATAAACTTAGACAAACACCCCTTAAGCTTAGGTTTGGTGAACAAGCTTAAGGTATCTCCTTGGGTAGGATACGAGACTTGGATATACTTCTTTACCAAAAGCCAGTAGCGGAGACTTTACCAAGGCTGAACAAGTTTTCTTACCACATGAATGCACGCCTTTTGGGGTGATTAATTAGGGATAAGTTTTAGGGAAGAAGAAAAAAAATAAAATAAAATAATAAAAAACACTAAAGGCAGGATAGGAAAATGATAGTTTTCGGAAATGTGGAATCTAAGAGTAAGTTTGAAAAATAAAGGGGGTGATATTTTCCTTTAAAAAGCAAATTACTAAAGTTTCTAGTACTTAATTAGTTCGTCACGTTAAAAAAAGTAGAGCTGCAAGAACCCATTTCAGAAAAAAGGAAATTCTACAAAACGGAAAGGAAACAAAGAACAAAATTAGTATGGAATGTTCCACAAGTTGAAGTTTTGCAATTTCCCTATAAACCCTAAACCTCTCCACAAGAAATCCCATTATCCATTTTATTCCACTCCTTTTCATTTCGTAACTTACTTTCTTGTATTTGTATTTTATTAAAATTTAACCCCATGGCTTCTTCAGAGATCGAAGTGGTTTCGTCAACAGAATCAAAGATCCACCAAACCCAAAACGACAATCAAATTGCTATAATTGATGTTTTCTCTGCAGCTGCTTATGGGGATTTCCAGAAATTCAGAAGATTTGTTCAAGAAGATGCGTCTTCTCTCACTAGGCCTGATGATAATGGCTACTACGCTCTTCAGTGGGCTGCTCTCAACAACTTTGCGGATATCGTTCAGTACATTCTTGAGGTACCCTGATTTTCTTAGCTTTCTTTCCGGTTCCTTTGAAGTTGCTTTAAATTGTTGTCTTGTTTTTAGTTAATGTGAATTTGCTGAATTGGGTTTGGTCAGGTGGCTACGGTTGATTTTTTTTTTTTTTTAAATATTTATTTTATATTTGTGTATGTCTGGAAATGTTCGTGAGTACACTGGTAGTTTCTATGGAAGAGAGCCCAAAATTCTACTCTTTGCCATTGCGGTTATTTCTTTTATCAAATTTCATGAATTTTCATGTTTTCCTTGTATTTCTGTTGAATTAGGCATTAGTATATTGATTTTATGTTGTAATCACGAAAATATGTGAAGTAAAATAATTCTAATTTTTTAGAATTTTATAATAGGTTTACTTGGAAAATGGATGTTGAGAGTAGATTTTTCTGGGTGCAAATTGTGTTATTTACTTTTGGGTGCTAATAATAAATTTCTCTTGCATTTGTTTGATGTTATTGTCATATATGTTTTTTATGCCTACAGCTCCATAATTATGTGGTAGTCCATGAATCTATGCATTTGAGTGTTACTAATTATGTGTTATATATTTATGTGATACGAACACTGACTTATCAACTTGTAAAAATTGAACTACAAGATTGGAAAGGTAAGGATTGATTGTTTAATGGGGATGAATCTGATCAGATGCCGAGGGTGTGTTTTTAACATTCTTTCATGAATTTAATGGTTTTGATGATATGAGTTTTCAAAAATTTAAGTTTGTTGCTGTATGCTGCATGTATATATATACATATTGTGAGCATTTGATGGACGGACTGTGTGGTGGGTATGTTAGGACTAAGTGGAAAGGTTTTGTTTTTGTTTGTCATTGAAGCACGGGGGAAATGTTAATGCAGCTGACAACAATAAGCAGACGGCATTGCATTGGTCAGCTGTTAGGGGTTCAATTGCTGTGGCAGATGTTCTCTTGCAGAATGGAGCCCGGGTTGAGGTGGCAGATGTGAATGGGTATCGGGTAAATTTATCCTTGTTTTTGGCAATTTATTTTGTGTTGTCTGTACGTAGGTTGAGTATTAGTAATCTTGTATCTAGTAGACTTTATTTATGAAAGGAATAATGTAGTAAATTATAATTTATTGTTGCAATATCATATACTTAGGCAAAGGTTTCACTGCAGGCAGTTCATGTTGCTGCTCAATAAGGACAGACAGCTTTCTTAAATCATATTGTTGCAAAGTATCATGCTGATTACGATGCACCAGATAATGAAGGGAGGAGCCCCCTTCACTGGTATGTTGGTACATCAATTTCATAGACACATATATTGTGCTTTGACAAGATGTTGAAATAGAAGTAACTAATTTAGATTTGGAAGACATATCTTCATTCAAGCAATATTTTATTGATGACACTGTATTCATATATTTGATAGAGTGATTTACTTATAGGCTTCATAAAGGTGGATTTGATAAGTTTTTCATTGGTTTCAGGGTAGACTTAAAAAATTTATCGCTCTAGTAATTTCTAATAAACACGATTTATGTATACATGTTTATATGTTAGTGTTTGTGTCTGCATCACTTATTTGCAATTACATCTTGTTAGGATGTGTCTCCTTCTCAGCTCCAGCAATAATTAATTTCATAACATTGTTATTATTTCCATCTTCTAATAGAGTAACTTGGTTCCAGATGCGTTCTCTATCTGTATCTTCTTTTCATCCTTTTCCTTTTAATAAATTCCTATCATCTTCAAGTTTAACCTCTAAATAAATAAATAAATAAAAATTTAGTTCTAGTTGTCTCCAAGATAAGTTAGAGCTCCTAAATCGCTTATTGTAGTATTTATCAATTTTGGGTCAGACTGAAGTATGTGTATGTCACATATGCGTGGTCACATCTTGTTAGGATGTAGTTTCTTCATGTAAGTTGGTTGTTACTTACTATGACTGTTACTATAAGATTACGTAACTTGGTTGTAGGTGTCACGTAGTTAAGTTAGAGCTTCTACATCTCTTAATATAATATTTCTACTAGTAATTAATTGAGTTTGAGGTGGATTGAAATGAATTTCTCCTACTTTAGAACAAATTTCATATCAAACTTATATAATGCCAGTTGTCATTTTCTGTCTTGAAATGGTTGGATTCAGACCATTTTTCATTCATAATTTGACATTTGTTTCATATGTGAATATTAGGAGAAGATGTCCATATTGATTTTTAGTATTTGAATTATGATGCTTGCAGTAGGCTTATCTGGTCCGAGTATATTATAATGCTTGTTACTCATGTGTTTCTTCTGGATTATTAAAAAAATAAAAAATAATGTGTTTCTTGTGCTGTTATAAACCAGGGCTGCATATAAGGGATTCGCAGATACAGTTAGACTACTTCTTTTTAGAGATGCAAGCCAAGGGAGACAAGATAGAGATGGTATATTCAGAACGCATTTAGTATCCTCAGTCTCTTATTTATTCATTTTATTATTTCTTTATAAGACACTATTTGCTGTGTTAAAGAATCAAACAGTAAGGTAACTAGCTCCCATATTTAAAATGCTTTCCCAATTTATAAATCTTAAATATGACACTGTTAGATGTATTATTATGTTTGCAGAAGTAATAATATGTGATTACACGTGTTTTGAGTACATAAACTATACTAAAATCAGAAAATGAATCGTCATGACATAGATCTGCAAATTCATTTACCACATAATATATGCCTCTGTGAATGTGTTTTCTACAGTTTGTTGTATGAACTTTGATGAAATATTCCTTCATATGGATGCTAAATTTTATTGAGGTTCGGATGATTGGTATTTAGCTTAAAAGCTTAAATGAAAGGTCTTTGCCCTACCTTTTTTGGTTCAAGAGAACAAAGGGCCAGAAGACATTGATCAAAGCAATGGAGTGGTCTAAAATCTGAAGGATTATGCTTGATTAAAAGTGACATAAATATTATCCTTAGTAGAAGCTTCTGTATGTAGTGTTTAATTTCTAAGTTTCTGAGAGCAGACTTAATATGTCATTGTTGTGCCTTTGAATAGTAAGATACCCAATTGACTAATCAGGTTGCCTTCTTGATCTGCCACCTCTGAGTGGTGAATAGGTATAGCTAAATGATTTATTGTGCTCTTAGGAATATAAAATTTTGGAAAGTACAAATTTTAAATTTAAAGTTTGATTCTAGCTTTCTTAATTCTTAAAGATATAACAAGAAGTAAAGAATTATGCTACAGAATATCTGATCTTTAAGTTGTTGGTTAAGTCATAATTATGTCAAACAAATATATTAGTTTTGTGAAGAGAATCTTTTTACTAGAGCCAAAAATAAAGAAAAATTGATACATGGTCAAAGAGCTGGTTCTTATACGGGTTGATCAGTTTGGTACTAAATAGTGATAATTTAATTTCCAATGTTATCAGGGTGTACCCCTTTGCACTGGGCTGCATTAAGAGGGAACGTGGAAGTATGCACTGTGCTTGTGCATGCAGGAACAAAGCAAGAATTGATGGTGAAAGATAAAGCTGGATTTACCCCGTCTCAGCTTGCATATGATAAAGGTCATCGGCAAGTCGCCCTTTTCCTTGTACGTGATTTTATATTGATGTTGCCTTAGGTAGCATACATTTTACAAATGAATTCTAAGTCTGAGGGATTGGTGCATCTATAGGATTTAAGTCTAATGGTCCTACTATTACTTGTTTATCTTTAGAATATGTTTGGATAAGGAATATGTTTACAATTGTGTCTAAGGGTCCATCATTGTTGAATTACTGAGTGGGTTGAGGGTCTTTTTGTTAACTTTGAATGTTTTATTATAGAGGTGTTTAGTAAATAAACAAATATAGGGGGTATTTTTGTTAATTTTCAAATTCTACATCGTAATATTCACCCAATTTAACGTTTTTCAAAATATTATTTTAAAAACTATCAGAATAATGAACCAAATGGACCCTTAATCTTATATAATCATTTCAATATTCAAGTTGTTGATTCTTAATTGATTAATTTCTACTGATAGATGCTTTTTTCATTTTCTTATTTCTATTTTCTTTTAAAAAATCAGTTATTGTTGAATTACTGATAAGTGTCCATTGCAATTTTTCCTTTCTCAAATCTTATATAATCATCTCTATGTTCTCATGTCCTTTTTCTTCTTGTACAAAATCAAATATAAAAAAGTTTATCTTATATAATCATTTCAATATTCAAGTTGTTGATTCTTAATTGATTAATTTCTACCGATAGATGCTTTTTTCATTTTTTTATTTCTATTTTCTTTTAAAAAATCTGTTATTGTTGAATTACTGATAAGTGTCCATTGCAACTTTTCCTTTCTCAAATTTTATATAATCAGTTCTATGTTCTCATGTCCCTTTTCTTCTCATACAAAATCATATATAAAAAGGTTAATCTTATATATTCATTTCAATATTCAAGTTGTTGATTCTTAATTGATTAATGTTCTACTGATAGATGCTTTTTTCATTTTTCTTATTTCTATTTTCTTTTGAAAAATCTGTTAGGTAGGAGTGGCCAAGCATATTTCTGGTGTAGAAAGATAATAAACCCTATAAAAGCAAAAGAAGAAATGATCTATAGCATCATCATTTTTCATTTTTTTATGCCCAAAAATAGCTTGACCTTTCTTACAAGTTCATCAAATTCAAGAATGGGGTTCTGTGACAGATCCTATAGTCATGGTAGTCAAGAAAATTGTAGAATTTCCCTAGTGGGTGGCTTCAAGGGATTGAACCTTGACTTCTAGGTAGGAAACAATGGTCTTAAGCACTCAATCAGCCCCTATTGTTCACAATGTAACGATGCTAACAGGCAGGAGTTGATGCTTGCTTATGTCATTCTTTTAAAAGTACTTCCAATTTACATTTTATGTTCATCACTTGCAGGTTAATGCCTGTTACTTAATTCCCAACTTTGGCTATGGGAATACTTTTTGCCCTTTTCTTTCCAATTCAATCTATATCTTCATCATTGCTGGGTTTTCACGGCTAGTAATGGTATTTTCTCTTTTTCTGTACTTGGTTCAGTCTAATGCAGAGAAGGTGCATAGCAACCGCTGGCGAGACAAAATTTTTAGTGGGAAGATGGGAGATATCGGTTATGCTCCTATTTTGCTTTGTATTATTATAATTTGTATCATCCTCTTCATCAACTCAGTTCTGACTGGTACGCTAGCAATGGTGTTTGACAATTACAATTGTGTTATTTGGATGTTAACCACTACTGACTCCTTATCTCTCATGCTAGCTCCTGGTCTGCCAAAGGTAACTGCTGTTGTTGGACTGTGGTCATGGATTGCTATTTCTATAGCATTTGGTTCACTTATAATGTTCTATAGGTGTGCAAGGTAATTTCTTGGCTGTCATTAATGGTAGATTAGGTATTTATTATTTTGTATTTAATACATACATATAAGAAAGTTCATATGTGCCTTTGTCTATTGATTATTGTTTAATTAGAAAATAGGCATTTGAACATACATTTATTGGTACTTCCCAGTTTGCAGTTCTTCAATGGTTTGAGGTTCATCAATCTCTTTCTCTTAAAGTGTTTTAAATAGTTAAAGCAGTCTGCTGGTTTTGACTATTTTCTTGTCTTGGCGGCATTTTCATAGTATGATTTTTGTTTTTGTCATTTTAATCTAACCTATGGTTCTAAACTTTCTTGTTTGGCCACCAACTTGTGATGTTTTGCGATAGGTGTGCCTACATTGTGTTCTACCCTTCAGATTGTTGCCTATTCCAGCTGTTTTTCATCATGTATTATAGAAATAACACTGATAAAAGTTATTTTATTTGCTGGTAGTAGGAATTTTATTTTTGACTGAAGGTCTCCTTTGGCAAAGTGCTAGACATCAATGACGATCTTCACTCTGTTTCAATCGCTTCTTTTGTTCTGTACTATACACAACCATTTGGCTGTTGTTTATACATTCAGTTGTTTCATAGCCCAGCCTTAAAAATGTAGTGGTATTTGTTCAAATATTTAATTTGACTGGGGTGCCAGGATATCTGAAACCATAAGACCTCTCAGATGGTCAAAATGGACCTCTTACTAGATTCATCCTGTAAAAGCAATTGAAAAAAAGAACATGAAGAGTTCCCTTTCAATTGATACATGTACTAGTATATCCATAGAAAACTGTTGGTATCAAAGTAGAAGGAACTGTCATGTACATTGTGTCATATTATGAAGTAGCGCACATGCCTTCAGATGACCTCTTCAGGTTTGTGTAGAAATATATATCATAAAATTATATTCTTGTTTATTATCAAATAGTTTATAAGTTTATGTTTCTGTTTGTACACATGTTTGTGGCTCTTACCGTGTGGTTTCAACCTAAATTTTGCTATAGGCATCAGGACCTGATATTTTTGTGTTATTCTTTTGATATCAAAATCTTAACTAAAATTGGCATTTTACATGTGCTGTTATTAGTATGCCAATTGCCTGTCTTGAATATTTGTCTTGGTTATATGATATCTGTTTCTCTTTACTTTGATAATTTGTTTTACTTTGGCTGTTCAACATTTTTCTTTTTTTCAAAAAGAAAAACTTTCGATGTTGATGGAATCTATCAATTGGCTGCAGTAAAGATCCAGGTTATATTAAAAGATTAGAAGATGTTGATACCCGTAAAGATGCAGAGGTATGAAATATATCTGTTTAATCGGATTATGCCCCCATTCTTACTGTTAAACATTTATTTTAGTGAAGACATCAATTGTAATATCATAACAAAGAAAGAAAGATTGGGTATATCTGTTTAGTCATGTGACATGTTTATTGTTTTTTTGCTTGGTTAATGCATTGACATTTGCAGGATCCCTTGTTGACCATTGATCTAAACAATTCCTCTATATGGACAGGAAATTGGTCTCAACTCTGCCCTACTTGCAAGGTCCTCTTTTGATGAACTTTTTCTTTTTCAAAAAAGTTTATAAATATGGCTGCAAATACTTGTTTCTATATTTATTTTTATGGTGCTTTGACTTAATTTTTATTTTTTTCAAACATAATATTCAGATTATTAGGCCTGTTCGCTCGAAGCACTGCCCTACATGTAAGCGCTGTGTAGAACAGTTTGATCATCACTGCCCATGGATATCTAATTGTGTTGGGAAGGTAACAAGTTGGCTTAGACATATGAATTCATAAGATACTGACTTTGTTAACACAACTGACCTGACATCTTCAGTGGATAGTCTATTTCCTTTTTGATGTCATTAATACATGCCTATACCATTTCTCATTAAAAATAACTAGAAAAAAGAAAGAAAATACAACTGATGTACAGAAATAAAGTGTGGATGCAGTGGCTTCCATCTTGTAGAGAGAGGTTCAAATTGTCATCTAGACACACTGGCAAATCGAAATTTGTGTCTTGACTTTCAGTGGTTTACATGCATGATGATTGAGGACCCAAAAAAAAAAAAAAAAAAAAAAAAATAATTATTTGGATTCAGTATCTTGCTTTCTTTTATGAGGTTTCATATTTATGTTTTTGGTGGCTTCATGAAAGATGTAATTGGTGTCTGTGACTGTGCGGTCACCCATGCTGCCTTTGGGTTTGCAAGCATGATACCACCATATGACATGTTGTGAGACTTGTGATGCCAAGTTATAATATTATCTTACACCCAAGTTTAAGGTCTATGACACTGTTTCTTGGGTTTTGCATCACAGTTCACGCTTCGTCATTGGTTCTCTGTTGCTTATTATTGGAAGGCTTACTACTTCTGTCCTCTTTAGCTGATTTAATCTGCTTTTGAATAATTGACTCAGCATATTATAAGTGACCCTGCTCCAAGCTTTAACATTTTGTCCTCTTCTTTCTGCTTATCATTTATCTTACTACTGTCATTACGCTTCTTGCAGAGGAACAAACGGGACTTCTTCATCTTTGTATGCATGGCAATGTTGACGTCGTTAATTAGTATTATCAGTGCAGTTCAAAGTATGTAGGCTGCTGAGGAATCCATCTCCCAGCCTTCTAAATGTTCTAAAATTTGTCTCTTGTGATGTAATTATTTCATTTTAGATGAGATAATAACAGTACAGACAAATTTTTTATTACAGGGATTTGGACAGCACCACTACCCTTACACTCTGAAGAAACGTGGATTCACCATGTGCTAGTCCAGCATCCTGGTGTTGTAGCGTTTCTAGTTTTAGACGCTGTTGTTCTGACTGCTGCTACGACTTTGACAACAGTACAGGCTTCCCAGGTAATTGACCAAAGATTACATAACCTTAGATTAAATATTTGCTGTCATTAAGTGGACAATGTTGTTTCAAGGAAGGGTATTTGATGTCGAGGTATGAGGAGTTGCACATTCACTTTGAGTTTTCTCTCTTCTTTGGTTAATATTCTTGATCTGGGTCTGTTTCTCAACCAATATCTTCATGTTCTGGAGTATTACTTGTAACCCAGTCATGAAATATTAGAGGAGATTGGGGTTTAGTCGGTTTTATGTTGATATTTCTGTGCTTAACATGTCAAATACTGATTCTCCTCTTACAGGGAGATCTAATATCTCCTGTGGACTTCTGATCCACTTTCATGTTTGTCTTTACTGTTGCTCACATTAAGATAATTCTATCTTGTTTCTATCAACAAAAGAAAAAAATATCAATTCCTATGGAGAAAAGAGTTGAAACAGGGGAAATAAAAGGAGATTTGCAGGGTTTACATAATATGATAGGAGCATTATATTTAAACTTGTATTTGATCGATACCAGTAACGTTGTGATTTGATTGTTTATAGATCATTTCCTTTCTTGACGCTCACTTGGCTTGCCTAGGGCCTTGATTTTTTTCTTTTTCTTTTTCTTTTTTTCCCACGGCCAACTATTACCTGATGATCGTAATTCATCCAGATGTCTTCGGATAGGCGATAGGATGCCTTGCTATGTCATGATTTCTTAACCGCAAAAATTATTGATCACTCCTACACAATAGGACCTGATTTCGCTGATATATTTCTGATTACTGTTGTTCTTCAATCTTATACATCACAACTAATTTAAAAGAATATTATTCTCGTTAACAATTGCTTTGTTGCAAGTTAATACTAAGTACTTTTCTTTTCGATATTGCAGATAGCCAGGAATATCACTACAAATGAAATGGCAAATGCTATTCGATACGGGTATCTGCGTGGTCCAGATGGGAAGTTCCGAAACCCATATAATCATGGCTGCCGAAAGAATTGCTCAGATTTCTTCATTAATGGTTACACAAATGATGATGAGATTGCTTGGCCTCAATTACAGCAGGTTGCCAGTTAGACACTCCCTTGGTTGTAGATAATGCTTGAGAAAACCCACCCCGCTGTGTTGAAATTCTTTTCATGTACCACCATATGTCCCATTAATTGTTGATATATGAACTTTATATCACTAGATTATACGTTGTACTTTATTAACCTGTTGATGTTTACAAATCAATATTTGTAACAGAAAATGAAATAAAATCTTTTTGATTTAGTTGTTGATGCAAGGAAATTGATAGTCTGACACCAATATAGATGACTAGTAATTTGTATTGTATATTGGAAAGAAATTATTGACGTTGCTGTGCCATTTCTGTGCTAATCAAGTCTTGAGATGTTGAATCTGCCTTAATAATGAACTGGCAAGCTTTCTGCTGTTCAACAATAAACTGTCTTGCAGTGAAGATTTAAAAAAATCTAAGAGATTTCAAAACTAATGTAAGACAACAAAATTTATTGAAGAGAAATATCTAAAAGGGAAAAATAGTTTGAATGTCATACTATGATATTGAGTTGATAATGCTACAAATATTTGGAACACAAAGCATCAAATCAAAGTTTTTATTTCATGGGGAAATTGCCTCTTCTCATTAGATAATATGCCTAAAATACTAGAAGAAACTTGCATTCATCTTCATAAGGATTCTCAAATATATATATTTGTGTTTGATAAGGTTTTATCAGCCCTCCCACTTGTAATATGGGTAGGCTTGGCCTTACTAAGTACAAGGTGCAAATGGTTGTAGAGGTAAATATGTCAGCTCTTCTATATTCCACTTGGCCATGTTTGATTCTTCACTGGTTTTAGGATTGCTTCAACGCCAGCAAGAGCTTCCTGATCCTTCCCAAAAAGTGCTAGTTCCGCGGCGGCAGCAACATTCTCCTCTACCTAATTATCAAAATATTCATATTTAACTACCAGGCTGAAAATAAAGTTCGAATCAATTTGCCTAGTGATTGTTGTCTGCAACACACCCAAAATCATTTTGTAGTGTACCAAACACATTTGGTTGGGCATTTGAACCCTCAACCAAAGACCAAAGAGTAAAAAGGAAAGTCTGATGCAACTTTAATTTAAAATGGTTAATTTAATGAGATAGTGACTAAGCATTTTGTTAGGTAAATATATCCTTATGTCCATAACTACACTTTATGATTTTGTAAAAATGATTTCGTAAAAATTTACTATCGGGTATAAACACAAGCTGGTTAACTAATAGCAACCTCTTAACAAATCAAAAGCATGATAAAGACGAATAAGAGTAACTACCACAGTGCAAACGGAAGAGAAAGATGCAATATGAAATTATATGTAAAGATATCAAATGAAAATAATTTCCATATATATCGTGATATTTATAAGATAAATGCAAATATTTCTTCCACAGAACTATAACAGAAGGTTCGTATTCAGATGTGTCTTTGATAGGCATTTCAATCTTTTGGTGAATCAAATACAAAAAAGATTTGTCCTTCTGTCAACAAAATTTTACAGCTTAAATAAAAATATATGTTGGTGACCAAGTGAAGAATAAAACAGAAGAACAATAATGGATTACACTAAAATCAAGTACTTATTTAAAGGATAGGGGTTTGTTGTGCAATTTTTCGGTGACATGTATGATTGGGACATTTAATTTGTTCCATAGAATAAGTTTTGGAGAAATCTAGAAAGAAGGACAAATGTTCCTCTAAGAAAATTTAGAGAACTTCTACTCAGGGCTTGTATCATAAAGAAAATGAATTAGAACCTGCTTATTGGAGTTCATGCCAACCAGCACCGATGAAATATCCTTATTTGACAAGCTGTACTGCATGGCTAACTTTGAAATGTTCTTTCCCTTCTCTTTACAATAGGCAGTAGCAACTTTACATGCAGACTGTCAGGGTAACAAAACAACAAATAAGGATTAGCTAGATTTCAGACAAGGAACAAGAAATCTAGTGTTTTGCTGATGATAAACCATTGAACTGTCAACCCAAAAATACTTAACAAAGTTTTCAAAAATGTTATTGCTTCATACAATTGGTCAGGTCATCAAAACTTCATGTGTCTATACACGAATGCTTGTGTTTGGGTGGGTAGTAAGAATCAAAAGATATCTTTAGTAGAGGCACTCTATAAGTAGAAAAACCTGCTCGACTAGCTTTGGATCATGTACTAATTAAAGGACAAAAAGAGGACAGCAGAATATTTGAGAAGATAAAGAACACCTTGAGTTCAGGTGAGGCAGGGTGCCATTCTGGAGGACCATTATCAGTAAGAAGCCCCATTGCAAGAGGGGAAGCACTAATAACACCGACCCCCTTGCTCTTCAAGTAAGGCAGTAAATCCTCCAATGTTGAATCATTAATACTGTAGTGGCAGTATGAAAGAATCACATCAACTGAACCAGGTGGCACCCGATCGAGCACGTACGTAAAAATTTCCAAGGGAAGTCCAGTAATACCAACGAAACGAATTTTCCCAGCTTCCTTCAGTTTCTGAAGAGCGGGAATGGTTTCATTCACGATCTGAAATTAGAACAAAAACAAACCAAATTACATTCCATGATCACATTTATTTGTAAAAACCATATAAAGATCAAGTATAAATTTACACTGGTAAGATAAAATAAAGTAATTTAGTTATAAACCAACATTTACAAAAGAAAATTAGAAATATATATCCAAGGACCTGATCAAGAGACCCAAATTCAATGTCATGACATTGTAGTATATCAACGTAATCCAGCTGCAACCTTGCCAAACTCTCATCAATGCTCTTAGTCACTCTCTCAGCACTAAAATCAAATCCTTCAACATACCTCCCACACTTTGTTGACACAATGTATTCGTTTCTGGGAACATTCAGAGCTTTGAGTGCCTTCCCAAGCATCTTTTCTGACAATGTCCCTCCATAATACCTACACAATGGAACAGAAACAAAAAATTAAGAGAGGGAGGGAGGGCGCTGGAGGAGGAGGAAGATATCACAGATCCAAAAGAAAGTGGCAATAAGCACAATATTAACATTCAAATTACAGCCTAGTTAGTTACAGCAAAATTCGAAGAAAAGAAACAACAATTAAAAGATTTATATCACTATTGTTGTTCGTATCCCAAATCAATAACCCACCTTTAAATAGTCAAATATCTTTCTTATAGGCTATAAAATGAACTATACTTTGTTCTTTTTTTTTTTTTTTTTTGGCTAAAGTCCCCAACAACGGCCTCTCTAACACTCAAAACTTGAGGCCCCACTATGCTGCCATTTTCTCAGCAGAAAAACTTGCTTTTGTAGTAATTTTTGGATCATTCAAAGGTTTATTTCCTTTATGCTTTAATTTTGGATCCAAATTTTATATTCCCATTCTTCCAGTTAATTGAAAGTCTTGAAACTTCAATTTCTTCTACTAGATTTTACCACATCCAAATGGGCACTCTTGATCCTCAAACAATTTTAAAAATGTATAAGCATCGCATTACTTTTTAAATCCCACCAGATATCTTAGCTTCAAGCGTTCATCCTCCTCACCTACTTATAGATTTCAATCTTTTCACATATCAACAATTATCACTTAATAACAAAATACTCTTTTTACAAATATTAATATTCTTCTTCCATCTCTAACATTAACAAAGCAAAGGCCACATCAAACTCAGTTTCGTCAATTACTGAACAATGGTCTCTTTCCAGATCCCAAAACTAACATTTTCACAATATTGGAGTATAAAGATTTAAAAATAAATAAAATAAAATTAGTAGTATTCAACCTCATATTGATAGGTCAAACTACGGTAATGGAAAATTTGTAATCTGCAAAATTTAGAAAAAAAATAATAAGAGAGAGACTTGGAGTTGGTATGAGTTGCAAAATAAACCCTTGTCAAAAATTCACATTGAAAGCACATTATAAATTTGAAATTGTAATGTGAAACAAATAACATTCAATATTAAACCCATTAATTTCATACTTGTAATATATAACCAAGTTACAAATTTCGTGTACCAACATCTAGACCCAATAATAAAAGCAATGAAAAAAGATAAATATTTTCAGTAAATTATTCATTAAACAGTGAAATAAAAAAATGAGACATACGGAGAGGTATCAAAGAAGTTGATGCCGAGGCGAAAGGCTTCACGAACGGAGGAAACGGCGTCGGCTTCAGAGACGGGTCCAAAGACGCTGCCGAGCGGTGAGGCTCCGAAGCCGACGGCGCTGAGACGGAGGCCAGTGTTTCCCAAGGGTCGGAGCTCCATTTTGCGAAGTGGGAATGCCATTCAAAGTCGAGAATTGGGATTCTAAGAGTGTTTGGGAAGTGGGAATATGAGAGAATTAATTATCTTTTTGTTTTGCTTATGTTTCACGGGAAAGTAACTGTAAAAGGAGTATTGAGTATCTAAGTGGAAGGTGTTTAACAACTGCAATGTGTTGGGATTGAATTTGATACAAATTTTTTCTTGTGGGGTTCCCAATATTCTCCTTGTTCACCTGACTGACAGGGTTTTTTTTTATAGTATTTAGACATTGAGGGTCTTATAGAAACCATCATTTGAGGGAGTGAATGGATTATCTAATTTCTAATTAATTTATGTCCAAATTTTCGGGAAATTATATTATTTGGCCCTATTTTAGGATGAAAATTGAGAACTGACCGTTTTAGAAAAGGTTTAATAATTGGTTAAGGATGAAAATTCCCTCATTCACAATTTCTTAATTCCTTAATCAAAATTCATTCTTCAACTCTCAAAAGTCAAAAACTATCCAATCTACGAAATCGAAGGATATTTATTTGGTTAATATTATTTATTAATGAATTTTATATTTCGAATTATACTTTTAGGTTGTAATCTGATTGCTTTTAAAACAAAATTATTAAATACTTCTTGACCATGAAATAACTAATTATTCTTCATGAGGTAAAACAGTTAAAGTTGGGTAAGTTTTGGGTAATCACTTTTTCCTAGTGGTTACTTTAAGAAAACTATCAAAATATCTCCTAGTCCGAATATATCAAAAAGTAACACTTTAGTCCAGTATAGTGAGCGTGTGAAAGGTTGGGACCAGAACTCCAGAAGTAGTAACCCGTAAGGTTAGGGAAAAAAATGTTGAACACCAGCTGGAACCAAATCGGTTCCTTTAAAAAACTAAAAAGTAGAGTTGGTGGATATATAAGTGGCCAAAAACTTAAGAAAGAGTTGAAAGTGAGAGTGACTTCCTGGAAATTTCCATCTCTCCGACTTAGTTTTATTCGGTTTAAGTTAGACTTTTAAAATCCAATTTTATTATCTAAATTTATATTCTATTTTTTATTCCGACATTATTGCAATCACAAACCATCCACGTTATCTTTTCCGATCATCAGTCATTAAAACCCTTCAAACCCTACTCTTTCTCACCTTGCTAATCACCAGTAATCGAGTAATTAGGATTTGCATAACCGTCCCTCCCAAATCAAATTCCGATCAATTCCAACTATCAAAATCTAACATTTCATCACCAAAAGACTTATTAGTCTCTCTTCTTCAAAAGTCTTAATAATCTAGATCGAATTTGCTCTTTATTTGTCATCAAAATATAAATCTAAATAATAAAGTGATATTTTTGAAATTTATAAGTAAAAAAAAATTATTAAACCATTATTTAGATAAAAAAAAAAAAAGACGTGAACTCGCAATAACAATACTTTATTTGACACATAGATAGCAAGTGTCAAAATTAAGGATGCTAAACAATCCTTTGTAATGTCTGGCCCAATAACCTTGCCAAACTCTGTCAACTTTGGGCTGACTCGACCAATTTGACACTTCACTATCTTACGTGTTTGATGTGATATATTTTCATTGGTCGGATGCATATGTATTTTTTAAAAAAAGAATAAAAATATTTAACAATTAACCCACCGACTAATTATTGATTTACTTTACAGATTCAAGATCTTTTCATGGTCCAATGATAATAAAGATCCTTTCACAGGCTGGCAACTTAAACTTAGATTAAATTCAATAAACCATATGGGTTTGCCATATAAATTGGTTACAGAATACAAATATGTACTAAAATATAACACACCTACCCTTTTGCTAGTTGTTACCCAACAATTAACAGAGAATTAGCTGCAATTAAGGTTCTTCATTTCTGGGTTTTGGTCATTTTGGATGCATTTGGGGACCAACCTAAATCAACTTTCTTGTTCCAAAGTCCTTTTGTGACCATAATTTTCTAAATAATAAATACTGAAAATTCGATTTATTTATTTTTACAATTGGGTATTTGGTTTTTATCTCAAGCCCACCAATTTACAGGTGCTTTATCAAAGCAATCCAAGCACAATTTTTTAAGGGTGTGAATGTGAGGATTTAAGTAGTTGAGAGCTTTACTTGCAATTAAGAGAGAAGGCTTCAGATTTATTGATGATCAGTCCATTTTCGTTCATGAACTCATCCTGTTTTTCATTTTTTTTCCTCTCTCGTAACATGTGGAATAAGTGTTTGTATATGAATTTTGTGTATAAAACAAAATCTTCAATTTTAAATCAATTTTTTTATTATAGAATTTTATAAAGAATAAAAAAAACTAATATATTTAAGACAAACTCTTTAAGACGAATAAAATTAATAGTAATTTGAAGTGGTTTTATCAGTTGCTTAGATAATAAATTACGTATGTGTTTTGCTTTTTTTATTTTTCCAAAAACCACTTTATCAAATGCATTTTTATATTCACATTTTTAAAATATTATTTTCAAATAAATATCTCCAACATATTTCCATTTTTCATGTTTTTTTAATTGTATTTTTTTCTATTTAAAAAAAAAAAGATTTACAAAATTGATAAAAAAAACACACCATAAAGTCATATCGTCCTAACCAACCCTTGAGTCACTGAGTTATTCAATAAAAACTTTTAGGTGTATTACTTAAGGTCTTAAGTTCGAATCTCTTCTTTAAGTGTTAATAATGGTGATCACTAAATTCTTATAAGTTTCAGGGTCTCAAGGAATTAGTTGAGGCGCACGTAAACTGACTCGAACACTCCGATCTTTAAAAAAGAACAAAAAAAACAAAGTCATATAGTCCTTGAGAATTCGGTGAAAGGAAAAAAAAAATTCATAAGAGTTCAAAATTAAAAAGACAGCCTTAAGCTGTTGTCTGGTTGTAGCCTGCAGCACACGTCAGTGAGCTATTGTCATGAAAGAAAAGTCAAAAGTAAAAGTTAATAAGAAAAGCAAATATTTTGTTCTTTATAATAAATAAGCAGCTTATTGAATAATCACTTCCCAATTCACATGCATATAAAACTGTTTGTTTGAGATCTTAACTGGTATGGTATGTGCATTGGCTTATCACCTCTTATTAATTTGCATCAAATAATTAGGTTTAAAATATAAATATTAATATGGGGTTTGCTTGTATGATTGAGACAATGGAAGGGACCGCATTTTTGATCGATCACTGGTGTTTTTCTAATGGCAAATCTCTTGAATGAATGAAATTTTCAACGCCGAGTTGGTGTTGGTGATGAACTTCCTCTAAAGTCCACAAAACAACAAAAGGTGATTTGTTTTTGGTATTAGTTTGTCAGCAAAATCGACCCAATAAGATATAATATCTTCTTGTTTTGTCATAGGTATTCGATTTCCGTAGCCTTTTCACATGAAGAGAGTTTACCTCACTATACAAAGTTGAATCAGCTGGACGGCTCCTGCTTTACTGGGGGTTTGGAAAAGGAAATTGCAACTCTTAATTATTGCAGGTGAGAATTCATACTTCTATTCACTATTTCTCCTTTTGACAATTCTTGCTATTTTTCTGTTTAATTTCTTATTTATTCCAGGGCCTTAATATTCTTTCTTCTTAGAGGTCTGTAGCTTCAGAATTTGTGTGTGTTGGTGGTGGTTTCTGGTTTGGCCGTATTTATTAAGTGTGGTTAATTAAATTAATTGGCCTGTTTTGTAAACAATTACAACAGACTCTTTCAGTTGTAGTCTTCAATGGAAATTTCATCTATTAAAGGGTTATCAGAGCTGGTAAGGTTTTCTTCTGGAAGCATTTATCCATGCACAAAGTATAATTTTGACAGTTTAAGGAAAATAAATTTGCAGGGATTAATGGAGGATTCTGGCTTCATCAACCAGTGGCACATGAATTCTCTTGATGATTTCAACTTACTGCCGCTAGCTGCAGCTGCATTTGGGGAGAATTTACAGCACTCTTACACTCTCCCAATGGCTCATACAGCCAGTGATAGACCCCTGAAACAGCTCAAAACAAACGCCTGGAATTCACCACAAATTGCTTTCAATCCAACTGATATTCCTTCTGCCAATTCAAGCGCATTGAATCAAATGGGCATTTTCAAGCCAAAAGAGGAGGAAGTATTTCCTAAAAGCTTTAGTGGTCTTCCTGCTGATATATTGACTTCTCAGGGATCCATCGGGCACCAAAATTATGCGTTTAAGGGGTGTCAGGGAAATCGGAGGAGCAGCCCCGGAACTAGACTTTCTCAAACACAAGATCACATTATCGCAGAAAGGAAGCGGCGAGAGAAGCTGAGCCAGCGGTTCATAGCTTTATCTGCTATAGTTCCTGGCCTAAAAAAGGTATGGATTTCTATCTTAACTTGTAATCTAATAGCATATTTTAAAGTCATAAATATAATTTTAATGATATCGATCGAAAATTATCGCTATGACGAAATTTTTTGTTTTGTAATGTTCTTGAAGTGCACGTTAACATATCATTTAAAAAGTCTATGAAAAATTTGTCAATGATATTTAATGAAATACTGCTAAATCTTTATTGAATTTTGTGAATCATGATTTCTTTAGATGGACAAGGCTTCTGTTCTTGGTGATGCAATCAAGTACTTGAAACAACTGCAAGAGAAAGTGAAGACACTTGAGGAACAAACAATGAAGAAGAGCATGGAATCTGTGGTGTTTGTGAAGAAATCTCATCTGTTTTCTGAGGGTGACAACTCCTCCTCAGATTATAATTCACCAACAGGTCACTTCAATGAACCATTGCCAGAAATAGAAGCAAGATTCTGTGACAAAAATGTTCTAATAAGAGTTCACTGTGAGAAAAGAAAAGGAGTGTTTGAGAAAACTGTAGCTGAAATTGAGAAGCTCCACCTAACTGTCATCAATAGCAGTGTCATGACTTTTGGAACTTCTGCTCTTGATATAACTATCATTGCTCAGGTAATATCATATCTCCTTTATTTTTAACATTTTGAAGCTAACCCTTGATTCGCACGTTAAAAATGATATGATTATTTTTTCTTATTTCTTGTTTCAAATTAGTAATTAGTGGAATTTCTCGATGCTTAACAGATGGATGTGGAATTCAAGATGAGTGTGAAAGATCTTGTGAAGAGTCTACACACAGCTTTCCAATATTTCATGTGAAATATTCTCTATTTTCTTCTGCTAAATTCCATGGAAGACTAGGAATAATTTTACCCTTGATATATAGAATAAGTCAAAATGTAGCTTTTTCAAACTTATTGCAAACAAGGCCTGCAATGTTGCACCATTTTAGACCATTAAACTTGAAGCTTGTTTGCTGTGAGGTTCACTTTGCAGAAGGGTTAAATATTTTTTTGCATGGTTTAAAGTTTTTAACTTGATAACCATGTTTTCTTCTTCTCTACCCTCCTGTTTTAAAAGAGTGATCATCTCATGGCTTGTTTGGGCATTTTTCTGGGTGGTTGAAAATTCAACTGGCCCTGTTTATGTGATGTCCCTTTCTTACCTAAGTTGTTGAAAAGGGAAACAAAAGAAAAATGGTTTTTTTAGGCTAGTAGACAAACAGGCCTTTGTAGCAGTACTTTGGTCGGTGTTTTTTGTCAATGTTTTTAGGGGCTATCTTGGAATTCTATTCTTGATGCCTCTTTTCCATTGTAATTTCATTTGATTTGTAACAGTCAGGTTGAGAATATTGAATAATAGTTTTTATTTTCTATATATACTTGTTAAGAATAGTACTTAATGAAACCATACTTAATATCTAAATTTGATGTATTCTTTCCAATTTATTTTGTCAACTTTGTATCATGACAAATGTAATTGTAATTGTTTTGACACCAATATATTATATGAATAATACTACACATACATCATTTTCATACAACATTATGTGACAATATATAATTGGGTGAAAGTTTAATTTTAACTTTAAATTAACTAATCATATCTTGTTACATAATGTTGTATAAGAAATGTTGTATGAAAATGATGTATGTGTAATATTACTCATATTATATATCATCTATTTAAAATTTTCTATATCAATATCAGATAACCAATATTTTATTAATATATTTAAGATTAATATTTAATAATAAACAAAGTTTTGAACTGGTAACATTGAATATAATAATATATTTAGAAACATAGGATATAAACCAATCTTCATTTAATCTTATTGATATTCTTTTAACTTATTACAAGCAATCTTAGTTTAAAGTTATCTAATTATACTACACTAATCCACTCCATTTTATTCTTTTGGATGGGGATTGATCGATCATTCACATAATACATATAAACATATTGAAGTGTTCAACACCGCTCGAATAATGAGAGATTCATTATTCCCGTCTCAATTTATTTTGTTTTAATAGCTCCTAAAGGGTTCCCTTCTCTTACCCACCTTTGGGTAACTGAAGTGATAGAACGAGTGTTGGGACATGTTAAAACGCATAATCCTAGTTTCGAATATCTGTGGATCCCAAGATTTAAGTGAGGATCGTGACGGTCCCAAGATTTAAGTGATGATCATGGCAATGGATTGTTATGATAGTCTCCTCTGATTATTACTCAAGATGCATGTAAACTAATCCAAATACCTTAATTAAAAAAAAAAAAAAAAAAGAAAAAAAAAAAAAGGGTTCCAGCCCTTGAATTTCTTTCTTCAATGTACATACATAAAAAAATTGTTGTACGGACGTTCAAAATCTGTTTTAAAGTGTGAATTTCTAATTATAATTTAATAATCACAATCACAACAGTCCATTTTTATTAGCAAGTAGCTGAGAACTAGCTTATTTACTGGAATAACAACTACATGTAGACATATCTAATCAATTATTATGGGATTTGGTTCCGAGCTTATTAAAAATTAATGCCTAACTAATTTGTAATATAAATGCAAACTCTCTCTCTCTCTCTCCTCTCATATTGTTTGTTATGAACTATTTCATTAATTCCAAATTTGATCTTTTGAACTTTTCCACAACCATCTTTCCTTCAAACACGTTTACTTATCAAATAACTCAATGTTTATAATTGATCTAGACCTTCATTAGTTGGAAGATCAGATGTGACATATCTTCATTATCAAAATTTTACAATGTCTATATATGAGTGTATTATTCTCAATAATAATGCTAAAAGGTGTGAAAATTACAATAAAATACCTATATTTAAAACTCACAATTTGGGATGAGCATGGGTAAAGAGTAGAACTGAAACCGACCCCATTAGGTTTGGTTCCAATTCTGAAAAATTGGAATCGAGAATTCCCAAGTCTGGTTCCAATTCCTGCAGTGCTAGAATTGGGACGAAATCGAAACCAAGGTCTGGGTTGAATTGTAATTTTTATAAACTATTAGGGGTAAATATTTTTTTGGGTGATCTATCATTTTAAAAAACTAGGGTAATTAAATTAATCCTGGTACTCGAAACTGGAACAGAACCTAGTTTCAGGTTTCGGTTCAGTTTCTATTTCTAGGAATTTAAATTGACCGATTACAGTTTTGATTCTTTAAAAAATGCAGGGTACTTAAACTAATCACCCCTACTCAAAATATCTTATCTATATCATAACCCATTTGGATTTTGCTGTAGTATAACATTGTACAATACATCAGCGTAAAAACCCGTAAACTCCTATATAAAACTTGTAAACCAAAAACTTAAAACTCATAATATACATTTTTATACAATTGTGTTATATCAAGCATATTTCAATATCGTTTAGTATTGACCTAATATTTAAACGTGTAATGAAGATGTTACATTGATATAAATATACTTTTCAAATCTTACCTAATAAGTAACTTGTGATTGATTTAAGTTGAATTATTAATTAAATTGTATAATATAATGTTAGTCCCACAAAAGATTGTGATCTTTTTGCTCTCTTGTGGCTAATCAATTGAATTATTTATCGTAGGAATATGATAGAGAGATTCTTGTGATAACAACAAAATCAAATCAAATCAAATTACAGATCACCAAGTTGGAAAATAGACAGTTTGTTGTTGAAGGGATTAATCATTAATTAGAGTGATTAATTAATTAATAGTAAGATTCCATATATTAACGTAAGATGACAAATGCTAGGGTCCAACAACAATCATTTAACTTGCTTAGTTTATTTCACTTAATCATTTTTATTAATCTTCAATTAATTTTCTTGTTTTAATTACCTTTTCTAATTAATCAATTAAACATTATCTATTTTTGTGGTGAAATATAAAAATATATGAAGTAAAAATCTAATTTTTGTAATTTAAATGAAGAATAAATGTTGAACTAATCTTTTGGGTGGAGATTGTTACATATGGTTCATACTTTGTATGGCCGACGGATTATCAACTTACGCCGACATATTCAGGGCTCTAACTTTTTGAGTTAATCGGTAAGCCTAAGATATTATGTTTTTAATTATACGCATCTTGTAATAGTGAAAAACTTAAGTGAGAATAGAAAGTAAGAGTAAACTATCGATATTTTAAGATTATTGTATTCTACAATTTTTGACTCAATAAATATTTTATCTGAATGTTAGACGTAATTTTTTTACTAGAACGAACCAAATAAATCGATTGTCATTTATTAGTCTTTTGTTTTTATTATTGTGTTTTTAGCTGTATTTCAATATAATAGTCTTATCTTTTCTACATTAATTCAAGGAATTACATTTTTTTTTTTAAATGATTCACCTAAAATTACTTTCTTATAATATTGTATGACTTAATTTATTGATGAATTATTGCTGGAGCAAAGTATATACCTCTCTACCACTCAATGTTGATTGAGAATTTGAGATTAAATAAATAATGGGACTAGTAGAAGTGTGACAAGTGTCTATTCTAAATTAAAACCTCAAGGGAATTGAACGACACAATAATTACAAACTTCAACTCCACTCTTTTGATTGACTTTAGTTGTTATTAATTTATATTTTTTGATGATTTATTTTAAATCCCATAAGATAAAGGGAAATAATTGATTAAGACTATTATGAGACAATGAAATCACACATTATTTATTTTTTTTAGGTATTGTTTAATTTTACAAGAGAGATTGAATAAACATTATAAGAATATATTGATTGGAAGATTGTTCTTCGCCCAAAATGCGGAAGACGTTTGTCTTGTATGCACAAACCTCTTTGTTGGGAGATGTTAGAGGTCGTAAATATTTATTGTAGAGTAAACGACTTTTTCCCACCCAAGTTGAGCCTCAATTACACTTTTTCACCCGAAAAATTTTAAAATGTCACTTTCCACCCAAAGTTAATATTTCGTTACTACTTAAAGTCGATTTTAGCACGAAAATTCTCTCCGTCACCACATTTAATCTCTGGTCTCCTTCTACAAAACTCATTCACTCTAGTACTTGATTTCTCGTCAATTGTTGGTCACCGCAAAGCTAGGTTTTCTTGTTCTTATTTATTTCCGACGGCGAATATCCAATCTGTTAGTCATCAACTTTGATCCACCGGCTTTCACTTTACAAAACTCCTCCTATCCTAGCTTCAGGTAACTCGTCAACACCAACTGAAAAATGAAATGTATTTTGGATATTAACGGAATATAAACTTTGGGTGAAAAAGTGGTATTATAAACTTTTGGGATGAGAAAGGGGCATTAAGGCAAACCTTGGGTGGGAAAAAGTTGTTTACTTTTTATTATAGGATATATTTTTATTTTGCTATTTAGATCTTATTTCATCTAATTAATATACAAATACATCCCAATGACTTAAAAGATCAACCAAAATTTTCTCTAAAATTCTAAAATTAATATAACCGACACCGTCCCTTAGAAATTTATAAAATCTTCAAAGACTTATCTTCAACTAATGACTTAAATGGGATTATTAATAATGGGGGAAATCAAATTTGTCTAGTCTAATATTTATTGAGAGTGTCCTTCAATGGAGCCAAAAAAATGTTAGAAGAATAGGAAGTTTATTAGTCAAAAAAAAAGAAATTGCTGTCGACTAATATGGAGAAACGTAATTTCAAAATGCATAGAGATGTTGAAAAGGGTGAGGATTATTGATTAGAACTACAAAGTCTAAGTTCTTGTTTGGTTGGAAGCAAACAGAACAGCACAACAGGACCAATAAAATAATGAAAACTCGTTGTTGTTGCAATGTAGGCACCGACTGTTACTTTTAGGAAGCTATCTAGAAGCTTTAAATTAGTGGGGTATCCTCTGCTGGCTACACCTAAATTAAGCAGGAATTACAATTCAATAAAAGATTTCTGGAAAACATTGCAACTTTGAAGAAGAATATTATGGAAGAGTGGTTTAAATTCTGATTTTGACATGTTTTGAATAATGTTTCTTTTTAATTTTAGAATCAGTCTACTCTGTTTTTTTTTTATGGTTATCTTATGGGTACGAACTAATTAATACAATTTGGGTAGTTCAATACTTTGAGAGAATATTGTTAAATTTCAATTCCGGGACATATGAATATTCACAATTTATCAATTGTACATATGTTATAAATATTTATGGAATATTGCGGAAATAAATTTAATTTAATACTAACCTCCTGCCATGCCATTGTTACAGAACTTTTTTTGTATCAATTCCAATTCACGCTTCCGTCTCCCCAAAGTCTTACAATGTCTTCCATTAACTACAATTCTAATGCAATAGTTTTTGGGTTAAAAATTGCCTTAATGGGGACATGTAACATCTCTCATTTATATTGCAG